TTAGCTATGTTTTTAAAAAATATATGACCTTTATTATGTTGAGGTATGTTCCCTCTAACCTCATTTTGTTGAGAGTTTTTATCTTGAATGGATGTTGAATCTTGTCAAATGCTTTTTCTGCATCTATTGAAATGATCATGGGTTTTTTTATCTTTTCTCTTGTTGATGTGATGCATCACATCGATTAATTGATGAGTATTGAACCACTCTTGCATCCTGAGAATATACCTTATCTGATTGTGCTGATTTTTTAATGTATTGTTGTTTATAGTTTGCTAATATTTTTTGAGGATTTTTGCATCTATGTTCATCAGAGATATTGGGCTACAGTTTTCTTTTTTTGTTGTGTCTTTATCTGGCTTTGGTATCAGGGCAATTCTGGCCTTATAGAATAAATTTGGAAGCCTTTCTTCCTCTTCTATTTTTTGGAATAATTCAAATATTTGGTAGATTTATCTGTGAGTGCATCTGGTCCTGGACTTTTGTTTGTTGGGAATTGTTTGATTACTGATTCAGTTTCATTGCCAGTAATCAGTTTGTTCAAATTTTCTATTTCTTCCTGATTCAGTTTTGGAAGGTCACATATTTCTAGAAATTTATCCATTACTTTTAGGTTGTTCAATTCATTGGCATATACTTTTTGATAATACTCTCTTATAATCCTTTGTATTTCTGTGGTGTTGGTTGTTATTTATCTTTCTAATTTTATTTATTTGATTCCCATCCCCCCTACCTCTTCCTGTTTCCTGAGTCTGGCTAAAGGTTTATAAGTTTTCTTGATCTTTAAAAAAAAATTAGCTCTTGGTTTCCTTGATCCATCGTACTGTGTTTTTTTTAAAGTCTCCATTTCATTTCTTTCTGCTCTAATCTTTATTATTTCCTTTCTTCTATGGGATTTTGACCTTTTTTCTTCCTTTTCTAGCTTTTTTGGGATATAAGGTTAGGTTGTTTGAGATTTTTCTTGCTTCTTGAGGGAGGCCTGTACCACTGTAATCTTCCCTTTTCAAACATTTTTTGCTGCATCCAAAGATTTTGGACCATTGTTTTTTCCTTTTCATTTATCTCCATGTATTTTTTTAAAAGATTTTATTTATTTATTTATTTATTTATTTATTTATTTGAGAGAGAGAGAGAGAGAGAAAGAGAGAATGAGAATGCAAGAGTGCGGGGGAATGGGATAGAGGCAGAGGGGAAGATAGAATCCCAAGCAGATGCTGTGCTGAGTGCAGAGCCTGACATGGGGCTCAATTTCATGACCCCGTGATTATGACCTGAACCAAAATCAAGAGCCAGACTCTCAACTGAATGAGCCACTTGGTGCCCCATCTCCATGTATTTTTTTATTTCCTCTTTGATTTCTTGGTTGATCCATTCATTGTTTGGTACCATGTTACTTAGCCTCCATGTATATGTATGTATTCTTTCCAGATTTTATCTTGTGATTGATTTCTAGTTTTATACTGTTGTGGTTAGAAAATATGCATGATATGGTTTCAATCTTTTTGAATTTGTTGAGACTTGTTTTGTGTTCTAATGTGTGATCTATTCTGGGGAATGTTCCATGTACACTCAGGAAGAAGCGTATGCCACTGTTTGTGGTTGTAATGTTCTTTTTTTTTTAAGATTTATTTATTTATTAATGATAGACGAGAGAGAGAGAGAGAGAGAGAGAGAGAGGCAGAGACACAGGCAGAGGGAGAAGCAGGCTCCACGACGGGAGCCCGACGCGGGACTCGATCCCGGGACCCCAGGACCACGCCCTGGGCCAAAGGCAGGCGCCAAACCGCCGAGCCACCCAGGGATCCCCTGGTTGTAATGTTCTGAATATAAGTGTTAGATCCATCTGGTCCAATGTGTCATTTGAGCCACTCTTGTTATTTTCTGTCTGGATAATCTATCCATTGATGTAAGTGGGGTGTTAAAGTCCCCTACTATTATTGTATTATTCTCAATTTCTTCTTTTATGTATGTTATTCACTGCTGTTGGTATTTGGGTGCTCCCATGGTGGATAAATATTTATAATTGTTGTATCCTCTTGTTTGATTGTTTCCTTTATCATTTTGTAGTATATTTCTTTGCCTTTTGTTATAGTCTTTATTTTAAATTTTTAAAAATATTTTATTTATTTATTAGAGAGAGTGAGTGCATTAGCAGGGAGAGCTACACTGAGCAGGGAGCCTGATGTGGGGCTGGATCCCAGAATGCTGGAATCATGACCTGAGTTGAAGGCAGATGCTTAACTGACTGAGCCATGCAGGCACGCTATATAGTCTTTGTTTTAAAGTCTGTTTTGTGTGAGTATTACTACCCCAGCTTCCTTTTCACCCATTTGCATGATATTTTTCTGCCCCTTCACTTCCAGTCTGCATGTCTTAGGTCTGAAGTGAGTCTCTTGCAAGCAGCATATAGATGGATCACCCTGAAGATGCTCATTCATTATTCTGCTTCCTCTTGTGTGGGGTTGATTTCCTATAGTGTATTTTTTAAAAAGAAAATATTTAAGTAATCTCTACATTCAACATGGGGCTTGAACTTATGACCCAAGATCAAGAGTTACATGCTTCTCCAACTGAGCCAGCCATGTTCCCCTGATTCTTTCTAGTGTATTTTAAATTTTGGTTTATTGAGTTCTTCATCTTTGATTGGTTCTTTTTTATATCTTCTATCTCTTTGTTGAAGGTTCTTTGAGATCCTTTACTCTTTTTTTCTCAAGTCCAGTGAGTATCTTTTTTGACTGTTAGTTTGAATTCTCTATCAGGCATGTTGCTTGTCTCCATTTCATTTGGCTCTTTTGCTATAATTGTAATTAATAAATAATAAATTATAATTTTGTCCTGTTCCATTGTTTGGGATATATTCCTCTCTTTGTTTTGTGTAACTCTCAGTGTTTGTTTCTATGTATTAGGAAAGTTAGCTACATCTGCTGACCTTGAAAGTAGTGGCTTCATGAAGAAGAGGTGCTGTGGTGTCTTGCAGGACAATGTTCTCTATTCACCAGAACTGGGTGCTTCAGGGATGTCTCCTATGTGTGTTTTTGTGCTCTACTGTTGTGATTGAGCCATGTTTGCTTTCGGTCTAGTTGGCTGCAATGGCCCACTTTGCCTGTTGTGGGCAGGATTTGGTCCCTGTGCTGTTATGGGGCCAGTCTGGCAGTAACTTAGGCTCTTTGTTGGGTCAGACCACATGCCTGCTCTGCCCTCAGCCTGTTCGCTCAGTCTGTAGTTGCACTGAACTGCAGGGCTCTCTTCCTGTGTTGTCCTCTGAGAGGCTTTTGTTGGTGGGTGGTGCCTGAAGTTAGACCAGGTATCTGCTCCCAGCCTGTCTGCTGGGGTTGCAGTGGCCCTGAACGACAGGGCTCTCTCCTTGTGCTGCCCCCTGTGAGGTTTTTGTGGGGGTGGACTGGCAGTCGGATCAGGTGTCTGCCCCCAGACAACTGCTAGAACTGCAGTCAAACTGGTGTGTATGTGTGATTATCTTCCTCTCTCCTCAGAGCAGGAGTGGCATTGGTCACTGCAGGAGCTGCTTACAAAATGAAATATATCAGGAGCCACTCTGGAGTGGGGTGTACTGGGATGGACGGAGTAAGTCCACAAGAGAACACAGGGGCAGGGCAAGTGATGTTAGCAAGCTATATGGAGAGTGTTTGAACTGTTCCCTGCAGTACTGGTCTATCTAGATTGGCAGAGGCGGGAGGCAGGGAAAAGAAATGGCCTGCCAGGTCTTTTGTTCTTGAAGGAGCATCCTGAAGACCCTGGCCTCTCCTGAGATTAAGTAAAAAAATCCTCTTCCTGCATACCCTATATGCTTCTCAAAGTGCTGCCTTTTTTTTTTTTTTTTTTTTTTTAAGATTCTATTTATTCATGAGAGACAGGCAGAAAGAGGGGGCAGCAGAGAGAGGAGCAGGCTCCATGCAGGGAGCCTGATGTGGGTGTGGGACTCAATCCCGGGTCTCCAGGATCAGGCTCTGGGCTGAAGGTGGTGCTAAACCACTGAGCCACCCCGGCTGCCCTCAAAGTGCTGCTTCTATGCTCTTATCTTAGAGGGGTTGTTTCTTATGCTCTCTCTTTCAGGGTGGGGACTGTTTCCTATTGCCCTCTTATTCTCCCAGAGCCTGAGTCTGCAGATTTTTTTAAAGTACCAGCAGTCAAACCTCCTTGATTACAAAAACTTGTGAAGTTAAGTCCTACTGGCTTTTAAAGCCAAAAATTATGAGGACTTGTGTTTCCAGTGCAGGTCTCCAATGTCTGGGATCCCTGATGTGAGATCTGTTCCTCTCCGTTCTCCATGCTTGTGATGTCCTTTCCATTTGTAGTTGGTTCCCAGGAGTTTTGTTCCTGTCTTTCTCATCATCATCCTTTTTAAAGATTTATTTTTATTTTTATTTATTCATAAGAGGCACAGAGAGAGACTGAGGCAGAGACAAAGGCAGAGGGAGAAGCAGGCTCCACGCAGGGAGCCCGACCTGGGACTTGAGGCAGGGACTCCAGGATCATGCCCCGGGCCGCAGGTGGCGCGCTAAACCGCTGGGCCACCGTGGCTGCCCATCATCCTTTTTTTTCTTTTTAATTTTTATTTATTTATGATAGTCACACACACACACAGAGAGAGAGAGGGGGGCAGAGACACAGGCAGAAGGAGAAGCAGGCTCCATGCACCGGGAGCCCGACATGGGATTCGATCCCGGGGCTCCAGGATCGTGCCCTGGGCCAAAGGCAGGCGCTAAACCGCTGCGCCACCCAGGGATCCCCCCATCATCCTTTTTTAATGTGGCCTCCTCTTATGGTTAACTGTGGGGAGTCCACTGTGTGTCTTTTTCCTAGATTAAAAGCACTGATATGGTTGTTATATTGGTGTGTCCTGGGACAAGGTGAGCTTGGGATCCTTCTACTGTGACATCCACACAGGCTAACAAGTATTTGTTCAGTAAATAAATAAGTAAACGGAATCGAAAGAAATTGGAAACATCTAAAATATGTTACAAAGGAATTGTTAATTATAATATCATTTAGTACTGTGAGCCCAAGTAGAAGGATAAGTTAAACTCTACTGAAAGAAAAGGCTGTTTGTGATACATTGGTAAGGTAAATAAACAAGTTACAGACAATAATGCATGTTATCAACATATTATGTAACACATACAATAAGAGAATGCAATATATTTATCATATATATGTTTATATATGCATTAGAAAATGATCAGAAGACTGTGCATTAATAGCTCAACCTCTGGGGAATGGGATTGTGGGGGGTAGGCTCATATTTTCTACTTCACATATTTCTCTTTTGAAGTTTTGTAATCACACTTTTAAGAGAACACATTTTAAGGTTCACTTATACAGTTCTGGGTTTTAAAGCAAGGAATTAAAATGTAATCATGAACAAAAATGATTGCCAAAGTAGCTAGGAAAAAAAAATCTCAAGACAATAGTATTGTGCTCAGTGCCACACATGGAAAGGACTTAGTAAGTCATTTGATAAACCAACACTCCTACTGTCAAAGAAGCCAAAGTTGAGAGAACCTCAGGACCCCTTATTACCATCCAGATCTTTGCTTCCTGAAGGAGATTCATTGAAGCTCTGTTTCATAAACACAAGAGGTTATTTTTTAAAAGCACAACATATTTATCATTTAAGAAATTTTTATTAATGATTTGTTTTTAATCATTTATTTTTAATAAAAACAGGCAGCAAGTTGATGTGAAAGCAGTCTATGATATAGGAGAAAACCACAAAAACAAGATTAGTCTTGATGTAGCAGGAATCAGATTATTTTTTCTATTAAAAAAAGAGATCACTCTTTTTCATCTGTTAGATCCATTGTCTAGTATTAGGTAGTCAGACTAATTCCTTTTTTCTGTGTTAGCTTTCATTTTTGACACTCAAAACTCTCTCAACATCTCTGGTACCAATGATATGTGAAAGCAAAAGCTACAAAGAAAGAGGTTATGGGGTTAAAATTGCAGATATTCTGAGATTCAAGAGAGGTTCACCTTTTGTAATGTTATAGTATTTTGAGAGGTTATAAAAAGGGCAGAAAGTCTGGAGGGTCCACTCTTTTGGATATAAGAGCTATACAAAGGACAGAATCAAGAAACTACAGAATACTGTTGCACTGTTTTGGCCTAATGAAAAGGGAGAAGCTAGAGAAAGCTTCCAAATGTTGGATTTCATAGAAGTAAACTCTTTGTCCTTTGGAGCCTAGCTGCCTGCTTAAACATCTCTAACTGTTAGCTCACACCATGTACCTGTTGACAAGGCCTTCGGCCTTCGACCTTCCCTGTGGAATAAATTCTTTTTGTATTTATTCTCAGGGAGGTAGCTTTGTTCTCCTCTAAGCAGAAAGAAAAGAAATAAAATGTCTTAAAGAAAAGTGGCCTTTTGAATATGTTTATGTAACCACAGAAGTTTTAAGAGGCATGGAATGAAAAATGGATGTGACTGTTAAAACTACATTAATATTCTTGAGAAAGGTAATTAGTCTTGTTCATTTGCTGCTAATGTTAAACCAATGTTTTTTAGTATTAACAGTATTGAAAAATGTGAAGTAAAGCTTTGAAGCATTGATCCTAAACTTAGATTTACATCATTAAGGTGCATACATCTCTGGTGGGACCTTAATTATTCATTTCATTCTGGTTTTGTGGCCAATCACTGCTTCAAATTGAATGTTCTGTAAATGATTTAGAGCTGCCAAGGCACGTTCAGGAAGAAATCTGTATGAAAAAGAAGAAAAATTCTCAATTAAAATTTTTTGATGTGAGAGTTCTTTTTTTCATTGTCAGTTAAAATATTCTGAAAGCTATCTGGTTTGCATTTAATCTTCCTGTGTTCCTCCTTTCTTCCTTCACATCTACCTCTATCTCCTCTGTGTATGCATATTGTTTTTTAATACTCATAGTTCAAATACTTTTGACATGTAAAGAAAACACTGATATGTACCACTCTTCAAATCTTCTAATATTAGTGAAATCTTGTAGGAGATTTTATATGATAAAGATCTGAAACTGAAGGTCTGCACTTATTGCTGAAACTGTCAATGAATCCTAATAGGAAGCATTCATGGAGAGACACCACCAAAACCCATCCATTTTTCCACCTCTCCTTAAAAAATTTACTGAATATCTATCACATGCCTTATGATAAGGTAGACAAAGTACTCAAAAACCAGCTAGGCCTGAGCAGCTCATTGTTGAGTTGAGAGGCTAAGAGATGAGAGGCCCTCTTGAAACAATGAATGAGAAATACTAGCCTTCTCTAATTAAGGACTATACCTATGAGGAGGATTAATGTGGGCTGGAATAGTGAAGGAAAACTTCCAAAGTGTTCGAGGATAGGTAAGATTTAATAGGCAGATGAAAGGAAAAGTATATGTGTGAATATAAGGCAAGTGTAACACCTTCTGCAAAGAAAGTCATATTAAAAATCACTTTGGTATCATTGACTAATGCAAGATTTACATCCTTTGATCAGTTAGGGTGGAAGGTGGGTGAATAAGCCCAAGGCCAGGGAGGTTCTGGCTGGAAGAAAGACAGATATAAAAGAACTTGTAGGGGTCTTTTAACTATCCCTGCAAAGAAACCTCCATGCTAGTAATCGCATCTGCTCACAAAATTGTCTATCACTGTAAAAGGAGTTGTATGAGAAGAAAATTAGCAGTAAGTCCCTGTTGCTGAGCAACAAACCATCAGGACAGCTCCACAATCACACCAAAGCTTTTGAGACTCTTGTTTATTGTATAGTGATACCTATCTTCAACTCTGACAGGATAAGTATGCTGATTATTTTGTTCAGATGCAAATATGCTAGGATTCTGATTTTTTCCAACATTAATATTACCTGTTTTGAGTCCCAAGAGAGGAGGAATCCCATGAAACTCCTTTCCTATAGTTTCTTAGCACAAGACATTTAGTCAACTCTTGAGATGATGTTGCTATGAGGCTGAGGTTATGCTAACTGAAGTTAGACTATTTAAGCTAAAATGGAAATTTGAAATTAATGCAGCAATGCAGTTTGTCCCTGTTCTTAAATTGTTCTATCCCAAGGTAGCATATTTTATATGGATTTGTTTCAAAATGACCCAAGGGCTTCTGAAGTTAGTATGGTTATCTTCTCATTGACACAATTTCAATCTATTATGAACTGTTCCTCAGAAGAAAGCTGAGAGATTCAGCCATTAGAAACGACAAATACCCACCATTTGCTTCGACGTGGATGGAACTGGAGGGTATTATGCTGAGTGAAATAAGTCAATCAGAGAAGGACAAACATTAGATGGTCTCATTCATTTGGGGAATATAAAAAATAGTGAAAGGGAATAAAGGGGAAAAGAGAAAAAACGAGTGGGAAATATCAGAAAGGGAGACAGAACATGAAAGGCTCCTAACTCTGGGAAATGAACTAGGGGTGGTAGAAGGGGAGGTGGGCAGGGGTTGGGGGTGACTGGGTATGGGCACTGAGTTGAGCACTTGATGGGATGAGCACTGGGTGTTATTCTATATGTTGGCAAATTGAACACCAATAAAAAATTTATAAAAAAAACATATTAATTTTAACATTAAAAAAAAAGAAAGCTGAGAGATTATCTCCACTGGGTAAATAATTCTCTCTCTCCTTAGCAATTGTTTGAAGTTTTCTTTTTTTTTTAAATTAAGTAATCTCTATACCCAATGGGGGATTGAACTCACAACACTGAGAACAAGAGTTACATGCTCTACAGACTGACCCAGCTAGGTGCCCCTCTTCCTAGAATTCCATGTAAGTTCTGCTTCCTAAACCTTAAAATCTGACTTCTGTGTTTTTTAAAATTTTGTAATGGCAGCGGTTTTCTTGCATTATGTTGTTTTATTCTTATGGTATGCTTAGAAAGGAGTTACTATGCACCATCCACATTTTATATATGGAAAATCGGAGGCCTCAGAGGTTAAATAACTCATCCATGGTCAAAGAACTAGTAATTGGTAAGGTGGTTTTTAATCTTAGGTAAAGCCTTCATTCTTAATCATTTTATTATATTGTGTTCCTTTAAATACAATCTTTGCTTCAGTTAAAACGGTCTCCAGCAGAAACTATATAGAAATCATAGAGATGGTAGAGAATATCATTTAAGTACTGAAAAAGAAACTCTCAACCTAGAATTTTATACTCAATAAACATATCTTTCAAATCTTAAGACAAAGTAGAGTTTGTTAAATATACACAAAGTGAAAAAATTCACAACCAGCAGAACTTCCCTGAGAAAATGTTGAAGGATACCCTTCAGGCAGAAGAAAAATGATACCAGATAGAAATCTGAATCTACGCAAATGGATAAAGAGCACCAGAAATGTTAACCACATGGATTAAGAATTTACTTTCTAATTTAAAACTCTTTTAAAAGATGTTGGCTGTTTAAACAAAGAAAAACTATGTAGTTTGGGTTTTAAACGTATGTAGATGTAAAATGTATGACAATTAGAGCATAAGTCAGAGGAGAGAGATAGAAGTATATTATTATAAGGTTCTTAGATTATACATGAAGTGGTATAATGTCATTTGAGGGTTGACTGTGATAAGTTAAAGACACATACTATGAATCCTAAAGCAATAACTAAAGTAACAAAACAAACAATTACAGCTAGTAAGCCAAAAAAGGAAATAAAATGGAAACTTGAAAATATTCAATTAAACCAAAAGGAGGCAGAAAAAGAGAAAAAAGGAACCAAGAACAAGTAGGATAAATAGAAAACAAATCGCAAGCTTTAAACCTAGCTTTAAATCTAACTATGTCAATAATCATTAAAGAGTAAATATCTCCAATTAAAAGGCATAGATTGCTAAATTGGGCTTAAAAAAAAGAACTATATGCTGCCTACAAAAACACATTTCAAATATAAGGAAACAAATAGGTTAAGAGCAAAAGAACAGAACAAGATATATTAAGATAACATTAATCTAAAGAAGCTGAAGTGGCTATATTAGTGTCAGTAGATCTCATAGCAAAGTATGTTTCCAGGGATAAACAAGGTTATTTCCAACATGACAAAATAGTTAATACATCTAAAGGACATACTAATCTTAAGTGCATAAAATCCTAGGCACGTGATAACAGGGCTTCAAAATATGTGAAGCAAAAATGGAAAAAAAAAGCAAAGAAAATAGACAAATTCATAATTATAGTTAGAGATTTTGAGACTCCTTTCAATAATTGATAAAACAAATAGTCAGAAAATCAGTAAAAACAGGGGATCTGAACAATACAACCAATTTGATCTAAATTGATGTTTATAGAACACTCAACAATACAGAATACTTTACTCATTCTTTTTGGGTGTACATGGGATGCTTACCAAGATAAACCACGTTCCAAGCTTAAACATGTCTCAATAAATTTAAAATATTCAAGTCATACAAAATAATTAAATTGGAAATCAGAAAATCTTTAGAAGATCTCCAAAAAGTTAGAAACTAAAAAATGCATTTCTAAGTAACCCATGATACAAAAGAGAAATTAGCATTTTGAACAGAATATAAATGAAAACCTAATACATCAGAATTTGAGGGAGAGAAATGAAAACAGCACACGGGAACTTTATAGCATTAAGTCCCTATACTAGAAAAAAAATCAATGAACTCAGTTTCTACATTAACAATCTAGTAAAAGAAGGAAACATTAAATGGAAAATAGCCAGAATAAAAGAAATAATAAATATCAGAAAAGAAATTAGTGAAGTAGAACACATGAAAAAAAAATCATAAAAAAGAACATAAACCAAATGCTAGTTCTTTGGAAAAGTCATTAAATTGATAAACCTATAGACAGACTTATGAAAATAAAAAAATAAAAAATACAAATTACCAACATCAGGAAGGAAATATTCTAAAGATATTAAAAGTACAATAAGGGAAGATTATGAATAAATTTATGCCAAATAAATTTGACAACTTAGATGAAATGGACAAATTCCCTGAAGAACCACATTACCAAGAACAAATAAGTAGCCTTAATAGCCCTATAGGCTTTAAAGATATTAGATTTGTAGTTAAAACTTGCCTATCAAGAAAACAACAGGCCCAACTGGCTTCATTGATGAATTCTACCAAATGTTTAAAGAAAAAATAATGCCAATCCCATACAAGCTCTCCTGGAAAGAGAAGAGGAGGGGATACTTTCCAACTCATATGAGGTTGATATTATCCTGACACAAAGACATTACAATGCAGGGGTAGTTAATTCTTTAAAATTAATCAGTATAATTCACCATATCAACAAACTGAAATGGAAAGAACATATTATCTTCTTAATATAGTTAAAAACATTCGATTAAAAACTCTTATCAAAATAGTCCATGTCTATCGAAAGATGAATGCATAAAGAAGATCATTCATTATGTATACAATGGAATATTACTCAGCCATTAGAAACGACAAATACCCACCATTTGCTTCGACGTGGGTGGAACTGGAGGGTATTATGCTGAGTGAAGTAAGTCAATTGGAGAAGGACAAACATTTTATGGTCTCATTCATTTGGGGAATATAAAAAACAGTGAAAGGGAATAAAGGGGAAAGGAGAAAAAAGGAGTGGGAAATATCAGAAAGGGAGACAGAACATGAGAGACTCCTAACTCTGGGAAACGAACTAGGGGTGGTGGAAGGGGAGGTGGAAGGGGTGAGGGTGGGGTTGACTGGGTGACGGGCACTGAGGTGGGCACTTGATGGGATGAGCACTGAGTGTTATTCTATATGTTGGCAAATTGAACACCAATAAAAAATAAATTTATAAAAAATAGTAGTGGAAGGGAACTCTTAATATGATAAGAAGCATCTATGAAAAAATATCTACAGCTAACATTATACTTAGTTGGAAAAACTGAATATTCTTCTCTTAAGCTTAAGAATAACACTTGGATGTATGCTGTCACCAATCCTATCTGACATTGCATGGAAAGTTCTAGCAAGTGCAATAAGGTAAGAAAAAAAAAGCCATACAGATTGAAAAAGAAGTAAAAATGTCTTTATTTGCAGACAATATGATCTCTGAAATAAACTGTATAAAAAATCTGTTAGAACCTACAAAAAACTACTAGAAATGAGTTTAGCAAGGATGCTAAATACAAAATCAAAATGCAAAAATCAATCACATACTAGGGGAAATAGAAAAATTTTTTTGAATGCCATTTGTAATAGCATCAAAAAACATGAAGTAGTTTGGGAGACATCTGATAAAAGATGTGGAAGACTTCTATGCTGAAAACTATAAAATGTTGTGTAGAGATATTAAGAGGAAAAAAAGGAAAGATATTTCATGCTCTTTGTTTTCTTGGACTGGAAGACTCAATAATGCTGATGTCAATTCTCTACCAACTGATGAACAGACTCAATGCAATTTCTATCAAAACTCCAGCAGGTTGGGATCCCTGGGTGGCGCAGCGGTTTGGTGCCTGCCTTTGGCCCAGGGCGCAATCCTGGAGACCCGGGATCGAATCCCACGTCGGGCTCCCGGTGCATGGAGCCTGCTTCTCCTTCTCCCTGTGTCTCTGCCTCTCTCTCTCTGTGTGTGACTATCATAAATAAATAAAAAAATTAAAAAAAAAAAAAACTCCAGCAGGTTTAAAATAGACCCTTTAGGGACGCTTGGGTGGCTCAATGGTTGAGTATCTGACTTTGGCTCAGGTTGTGATCCCGGGGTCCTGGGATCGAGTCCTGCATTGGCTCCCTGTAGGGAGCCTGTTCTCCCTCTGCCTATGTTTCTGCCTCTCTCTCTCTCTGTGTGTGTCTCCCATGAATAAATAAATAAAATATTAAAAAAATAGACTCTTCATTTTTAGCTATATTGTATTCTCTTTAAAGTGTCTTTCCTTCAGTTGGAATAGTCTCTAGCAAAGATTAAACTGAGATTTTAAATGTAGTAGAGAAAACGAATCATTATTTTTTTTAGAGATTGAATAAAGTAATAACAGAAAATTCAACTGTTCTCTCCAGGCAAGGAGAGTTTCTACAGCAACTTTCACAGCTGAAAGACTCTTCATCATTGTGATAGCTCTATTGGCGTTTTAGCATTTTGGATGTCTTGTGCTGTACTTACTTGTCTAGTATTAAATAGATATTGTAATATGATGGAACGAAAATCATCTTCTTATTGGTAAGAATTCCATCTATCAAGCTTCTTGCAACTGTATCTGTCTCCAAAATAGGCCACAGTCTGTGATTAAGAAGAAAAAATTTTGATTCCTTTTGTTGTTGTTGTTTTAATTATCAAAGGCAGTAAAACTAACTTATATCACCAAATTATGATTCAAAACGTTGCAGGATTCTCTGCACAAATGCCACCTGCTCCAACCACCCCACACATGCCACGGGGATGTTTTGTTATCCCAATCTTAAACTTTGACATCCAGAAGGCATGTTTTATGGCTCACTCAGTCAAAACATAAAAGGGGGGAGGGGTGCCTGGGTAGCTCAGTTGGTTAAGCATTTGACTCTTGGTTTTGGCTCAGGTCATGATCTCAGTGTCCAAGGATTGAGCCCTTTGATGGGAGTCTACTTGAGGATTCTCCCTCTCCCTCTGCCCTTCCTCCTGTTTGTGCTTTCTCTTAAATCAATAAATAAATCTTTAAAAAAAATATCAAAAGGGTGGAGAGGAATTAGATGACACAGGTGAAGAGGATACAGGCAAGGAAAAGTAGCGGGTGGGATTATTCATGGCACAGAAAGGAAACATCTGACATCTTTCTTCAGGGCTTGTGGGATACAAGGCTATTACCAAGCATACTTTCTTTCTTCTGGAGTTATCCCATAAAGCTGGATTGTTTTGAAGACATTTAATTCTTGAGGTCCACCTCTGAGTTGCCTATGCTACAATTTAATGAGAGTCCAAGGTGTGCACAGGGAGTATTGCATTACAACTAGAGGTATGGCCTTGCTTATACTGAAGACTGTGTGCATGAGTTCTTGAGAAGCATTTATACCACAGGCTCAGTGTAGAATGACCATTGGTGCAAGACGACAAGAAATTAAAATGTAAATGCATCGAAAATATTACATCAAAATTAAGATGTCTGGGGGATCCCCGGGTGGCTCAGCGGTTGAGTGCCTGCCTTCAGCCCAGGGTGTGATCCTGGAGACCTGGGATCGAGTCCCACATCGGGCTCCTTGCATGGAGCCTGCTTTTCCCACTGCCTATGTCTCTCTTTCTTTCTGTGTCTCTCATGAATAAATAAAAAATAAAATCTTTAAAAAAAGATGTCTGGGCACGGGTTGAATGGACAATTAATAAATTGTAATGTAAATGCATCGAAAATATTACATCAAAATTAAGATGTCTGGGGGATCCCCGGGTGGCTCAGCGGTTGAGTGCCTGCCTTCAGCCCAGGGTGTGATCCTGGAGACCTGGGATCGAGTCCCACATCGGGCTCCTTGCATGGAGCCTGCTTTTCCCACTGCCTATGTCTCTCTTTCTTTCTGTGTCTCTCATGAATAAATAAAAAATAAAATCTTTAAAAAAAGATGTCTGGGCACGGGTTGAATGGACAATTAATAAACAGATTGTGTAGACAAGTAAGTTAAAACTTCCTTCCCTGACATGTTCTGTGATTTACTGCAGACTATTATGTGATTCAAGTTTCCATGGCGTTGAGTAGCAAGCCAGCAGAGAGGAATACAAATCAATACCTTTTAAAATTATTGGGTTCTGCTTTTCCTTCCTTGAGTTTTTCTTCATTGTTTCATCAAGCCAGTGTCTGAGCCAAGCCTGACACTAGTATATGAATATTTTAGCCTTTGCCGTGGAGGATCCAGCAATCGGGATCAATCTTCAGCGTTGTCTGTCAGCCCCTAAGGTCACCACCTGGCATCTGCATGACCTGGGATCATATTCGCTTTACTCTTCTCATCTATTGCGTCTTCCCCACCCGTGGACCTGGTACTCTTGGCACACACTAAGCCTGAAGACTTACCAAGAGGGGTTTATTAGACCCAATTTGTTGTTTAAGAAAACTGAGCCCAGAGTCTCAACCATACCATAGTATTTACTTAAATATCAGGTACTTGTTAAGTGCCTATTGTCTAGCACTATTAAAAGTTCCACCTCCAGGGTATGACCACAGCTCCAGAGATCACACAGCTAATCCAGGGTTCAGAGTCAGTAGCTACAAATGAGGCTAAATTTAAAGGAGAATGTGTTAGCTCCTTTGAATGAATACATTTAAGACTAATTCCCCTTTAGTAACAGACTGGCTTCAGAGAAGCAAGCTTAGTGTATTTTGTTAACCTGCAACAGAATATATACTAGAATTGAGGCAAATTTGTGAATACACCTTAATTTAGAGCCCATCTCCTCACCTTTCTGCTTTTTTCCTTCTCCTTTCAGGACCAATTTCTCTCTCTTATGAGAGAAGAAAATTCAAATCCTCCCTTACCAGAGACAAAGTTCTCACAGAAAATTCATCTTGACTAAAGGGCTAGGGGCTCAATTTATTGCTGCTCCTAGGAACATTTGCATTTTTATGGAGGACAAGGAGGTAATAGTGATCAAAGGCTGTGATTTAATACATCAATGGTTTCCAAACCTGTCTCCAGACTTACCTGGTAGGTATGCTTGTAAAGCAAAGAAAAGCAAAACAAAACATCTCATTCTTGGAGCTCATCTCAAGCCTACTCAATCAGAATCTCTAAGGAAGACCCAAAGAACATTTATTTTTTATGGAAGCACAGGTGATGGATGATTTTTAGGACCGGACAAGTTTGAAAAATGTTGGAGTACTTCATGCTAGCACCATGGAAGATGGAAAAGGGGCATATACTTGTATCTTTCCATACTCTGAGGGGAGTATCTGAATGGAAGAGGGGGATGTTATGTAACATTCATTTTTGGGGTGGGGTTTCTAGGAGAGGGCACTCTTGCCATCCCTGTAAACACACCTCTCCAACCTGTCCCACCCCCCTCATTCCCTCTTGGCACCTGAGTGTGTTGAACCTTTCATCTGGACACAAATAAACACCCAATTGCTTAACTTGTTGGCAGCCAGTCACTCCTGCTAGTCATCAATGCATTTTTCCCCCTTTGCTCATCTAATTTCAAAGTGAAAATTTAAAGGCAGTACACCATTAAGAAATATTTTTTCCCTTTTTCATTTTTTCCCTATTTTCTCAGTTGATCCACCTAAAAATTTCTTGTACAGATTTCCTATCAATTTCTCACATCATATTTTCAAACTTGCCTTTGACCTCACCTTGTGCTTGGGTTTTTGGTGAACCCGGTGTTCACAAAAACTGGGCAGAGACACGAGGTTTTGATCCCAGTTATTCCCAAGGTTTGCAGTTCTAATGTCAGAGCTCTGTGGAAGCCAACAGCAGCAAATTTGCTGGAACTATAAGAGAATACCCACCATCATTATGAGCTTTCTGTAAGAAGGCCATGTCAATTTGGTTTGAGAATAAGTAGAAGCCAACTTCCCAAATCTTCCACTTGGTCATCAATTTTCATTTACATTTTCTTACATGATTTTACAGAATTCTGAATGTACAAATTTCTTACTTAGCAATGATAGCAATAGAACAAAGCCTAGTAATGTGTATTAACTGGCTTACTGCTCACTCCCCCCCCCCCCCCGTGTAAAGTTTTCCATTCCATCTTTAAACTGTTTTCTAATCAGTTTTAATTATTTTTATTTGGAAAAATATGAATCAGGAAAAACATATTTAGAAAAACTACTAACTAATATCTACACTGAAACTTCTGTGGGTCTCTACACATTTCTCCTTTCTTTCCTGGTGAGTTCCTAGTTTCTCTCTTGATCCTGAAGGCTGCTCTGGCTTCTTAATTTCATTGTGAAAATCTGGAGTAAAAACACTTCAGGCAGTGTGTGTGTGTGCCTGTGTGTGTAGCCTTCAGCATATCACTTTATCTTCTTTGATTTTCTGATTTTTAAATGCAGGTAATAAAATATAGGCTGTCTTGAGGATTAAATTGTATAGTATATGCCTTATAACTTTATTACCTATAAGAATCTATATAAATGCTCACTTTATTTTTGACCCAGGTGACAATAAGAACAGTACAATTAAAGGCCAGCTATTTTCTTAAGGGAGAAAAGTATTACATTGGGTTTCTAGATTTCTAAACATTAAAATAGCAAATGTTTAATCTGTGAAATTCTTGTGTTTTAAGATGGTAGAGGTAGCGTGAAACAACCATATTTGTGCAATGACTCCATAACTGACATTGAAATTTGTATTTGTGACTACATTCTGTGTCAGAAGTAATTTTATCCATGACTCAGTTTCACCTTGAAAATGATGTAGAAGTACCTAATAGATCAATTAATTACCTACATCCACATCCTCCCACTGATACTCATGTATTGGCTGTTACAAAAAGAACTGGACCAAAGGTTAGCAGATTAAATTTTTCTGAGGTTTATATGAAGCAAAAGTAAGGAAACGAGATGCCATGGAAGGAGTTTATAAGGAAAAGATATTTTACAAATAGTGTATCCTTAGGGCCTCCCAACCTCTTCTCCTGTGTCCTTGGTACATCATGGAGTGTACTATCTGCATGCATCTTGCAATCAGGTAGAGGCTCTCTCTCTGCCTCTCTCTCTCTCTCTCATACACATACAATCTTTCATGGCACAAGCACACTGGGAAATATTTTGATCTAGGGCTCACTCTGGTTAGCTTATCTTGGGCATGCAGGTGATGGCATACATTTATGTTCATTTGGACTTCTGTATGTTTTACTACTTAGTCTGCGGTTCCCTGTTTCTTTTATCAACATGTACTCATTCCAGGATAAAAGGAAACATACTTGGCATTACATTTTATTGCTTTACAGAGGAGTTTTCAGAAATCTAAACATATTTTACACAATTACACCAGTTTCATTGTTTTAGGAGAAGTCATTTTTAAAAGTTTATTCTAGACTATGTAAATAACCCTGCTACAAGGATTGGAATATAAGGTTTAATAGACCCTTAAAAGATTATACATAGATATTATAAATTAACATTGATATCTATCTATCCATCTATCTATATATAAATGCTGGAAAAGAATACTTACCAATATGGAATAAGATAAGGAATCACTCCATGGCCACACACTGAAGCCACTGTGACAATGTGGCCATGATTTCTCTTTATCATGGATGGAAGAAGTGCTTTTGTGATCTTAAAGATCATTGCAGAAAGAAAAAAAAAAAGCAATGGCACAGGTGTTAGGGTTCTAAATTAGGTAGTTTTAAGAAAAAAAATAGTATTTGAAACAACTTCTACAATAAAATGAAATACGTGTCAAGATTCCATGATTACTTCTATATAAATGACAGAAATGAAAAAGAATGAAATGTATTTGTTTAAGCCAGCATTGAAGGCTGTGCACTAAATATCACATGCTAAGAACTCATCTTAATATTTCCCCTTCTTCCCAGGGCATCTGAGTAGCTTGGTCAAGTAAGTGTCCAACTCTTGATTTTGGCCCAGGTCATGATCTCAGGGTCCTGGGATTGAGCTCCATTGCATTCTGCACTCAGTGCAGAGTCTGCTTGAGATTCTTTCTCTCCCTCTGCCTCTCCCCCTACTTGCACTCCTGCATGTGTGCATGCACTTACTCATGTTGTCTCTCAATCAATCAATCATCAATCTTAAAAATTCCCCTATCTTACCTTCAGAAGCAATCAAGTAGCTCTCTTATGGATATATCATCTGAATAATAGTATCATGGGAAAAATGCAGTGTCTTTAGAACTGAAAAGATTCCCTATGGTAATCTGGTATCACTTAAATTTTTTTGGTAGAGGGCTTTATCATTCTAATGAGAAGAATTGAAATCTTGTTTAACTATATCAAGTTAAGTAGAAAAAGCTAAGTATTGTCCTGATCCATAATCATTATCCATCATGATTAGATTTAGTATCTCCCTATTTGTAATATTGTGTACTATATATTGATAATTGAAACAAAAATTCTTCCTTTATCTCCAAAAAGCTTTTATTGTTTTGTGAGAAATATCAATTATTTTATGAGAATTTTATAAATATGCCCTATGGACCCTATGCAAATTCACAGAGCCAGAACTGCCAAACCAAGTCATTTCCAAATTGCTGACCCATAGAAACTCTGAGAGGAAAACAATCATTTATTGTTGTTTTAAGCCACTAAATTTTCATGTAATTTGTTAGGCAGCTATAGATAACTAGCCTGGGAGGTCTCTATGTAGTTTGGTGGGCATAATAATCAATCCTTATTAGCATGTGGGGGGGTGGTTTGAGGCAGATGAGGGGAGACATCTCTTTTCCTTCTCTTCCAGAATCTAGGTTTGCTCTAGGTTCTACACTTAATATTGAGACACTGGAAGATTAATACATATAAATTCTTTCTAGAAAATCATATTTCAGTCTTCTGATAACCAGTTATAAGAGGTCTGTAGAGCTATATACCTAAGTTCTGGCATGGATCTAGTGCTTGTCTCATGTCTGAGTCTCATGCAGAAAAGTTCACAACCCCTATATACATCCAAGTAGTGATTTATGTTGTCCTTTCAGTTCTAAAAGTCCATGGTATGAGGTCACAAGTGAATGTATACTGTATATATTTCCTCCAAAGCACTGAAAAGATGTATAATGACAACCCTTAGAAAAGCTCCACAGATATATTAAGCACTTGGTCCATCCATGCCATGTTTTGTGTTAGATTCTGGTAGATAAGACAGATCCATTAGCCTACATTCTCAAGAGTTGTGTCCCTTCAAATCTTGTGCCCTTCTGTCAGAGACTCTTCCACTCAAATTAATTTGGTGATTCTTGATGTAAGGCAAATATAAAGGTGTGAACTTAAATACAAACTTCATGTATCTTAAGAGCAGGTGTGAGATATGCCCAAGCCAGAAATGTTTCTCACACTCACCCAAAAATGTCCTAGGATGTTGATCTCAAAGGTTTTGGTAATCTCTTCATCCTTGGTACTAAGAAGGTCAGCTGGATATATTGTCCCAGCATTATTCACCAGGATGGTTACATCTCCCACTTCTTTCTTCACCTTTGAAAATGGAAAAAAAAAACAAAACATTCACTGGATGCATTATAGAAACTCCAAGTTTTGCAGCTGATGTCATTCAGGTATTAGATTCTTTATTCCACTCGATGAGATCTCTCAGAGTTCAGGCAGGAAAGAACTTTAGCCCAAAAAGTGGATGCAGAGGAAACATTATCATAAAGCTAGGAGAAACAATTTTTTTAACATCTGAATTTTCATACTGTGTAAATCATAGATTTTTAAAACTTGTCTATTAAGTGAAATTAATATTTTTGTTGATTAAATGATACAGCAGTTCTGACCAAATATATTTATAGTACTGAGTAATCTTGGTTCTGCCACCTACTAGCCATAGGACCATGGACTGACCCCACTGAACCCAGTTTGCTTATCTGTCAAATGAGGTCAATAGCATTATAGAGGTTAAAAGATGCCGTTTTTCAGAGTGCTTGGTTCATTGGATTCGACATCTACTCTTTTGAATATTGTTACAGTGCAGCCCGGGTGGCTCAGCGGTTTAGCACCGCCTTGAGCCCAAGGCATGATCCTGGAGACCCGGGATGAGTCTCAGGTCTGGCTCCCTGCATGGAGCCTGCTTCTCCCTCTGCCTGTGTCTCTGCCTCTCTCTATGTGTCTAATGAATAAATAAATAAAATCTTAAAAAAAAAGGAATTACTGCAAAAGTTATAGTACTAAAATGAAACCCAGGGCACCTGAGTGGCTCAGTGGTTGAGCATCTGCCTTTGGCTCAGGTTGTGATGCCAGGGTTCTGGGATCGAGTCCCACGTCCAGCTCCCCATGGGGAGCCTGCTACTTCCTCTGCCTGTGTCCCTGCCTCTCTCTGTGTGTCTGTCATAAATAAATAAATAAATAAATAAATAAATAAATAAATAAATAAATAAATAAAATCTTAAGAAAAAATGAAGCTAGAAAGTGACACTTTCTCCTGGTGATAGATCTCTTCCCTGTCACCCTGTACCACTCCCAAAAGTTCTGATCAGAAAGAAATTGACTGATAATATGAAAAAATAAGAATCAGCAGAGTGGAATGGGTTTTACGCATGGAAAAAAACAGATGTTCTTCCTTCTTCAGACAAGTTCCCCAGTTAGAAGAGGCCAAAATCGAATCTAAAGCAGGCAGCCATAAAGAACCTTTACATTTTCCATGTAAACGATACAAAATTCTTTGAAGAAATATGTCTCCTGAGGTCTCACCTGCTTTACGGAGTTATAAATGTCTTCGCGGTTACCGCAGTCCACCACAAATGTATGCACAGTGGCTCCCAGTTTTCTGCATTCGGCTGCCGTTTCCTCAACACCGTGCTGTGATTGGAAAAACCAGATGCAGAAAGATGTAGGTCAGTTAGGGGACAAGAGCAGGGAGAAAGAACTGGAGAAGAAATTTCTTGAAAGATTAGAATTCATGTCCAAAATGCCCTCCTTCTTTTTAAAAAAAGATTTTATTTATTCATGAGACACACACAGAGAGAGAGAACCAGGCTCCATGCAGGGAGCCCGACGTGGGACTCGATTCCGGGTCTCCAGGATCACACCCTAGGCTGGAGGCGGCGCTAAACCGCCGAGCCACCCGGGCGGCCCTGCCCTCCTTATTCTATGAGAAATTTTCGTGAAAGACACCGCTCGACTAATTTGCAGAGATTACACCTGGCTTTTCTGCCAGCGAGTGCTCCCATCAGCCTTGTTTGGCTTCATTCTCAACAGCCATTCTGCCTCAAAGCAGAAAAAAAAATCTTATTTTCCCAGCTTGTTATCTGGGTTAGAGGTTCTTTAGGAGGCAGTTTTTAATATTTATTTGTTTGTTTGTTTGTTTGTTTGTTTGTTTGTTTGTTTATTTATTCATTCATTCATTCATTCATTCATTTGAAGCAGGCTACTCTCACAGCTAGAGGAACATGCTTGAAAGATGTTGCTCCTTGCGGGGTCATGATTGGAGATGTTTGAGTACACAGAAGAAAAGAAAATTCAGTTTTTCATTTAACACATATTGGTTGAACACCAACCATGTAACAGGCAGTAAAGCACCAGGTAGCAATTCTAAACTAGAGGTAATTTTAAACTAAATGCCTCCACCTGACAGTTTTCTCCACGATTCTGATTTAACCCTCTAGGAGAGAAGGAGAAAGAGGGATCCTTATTCGGTGGAAGACTTTCATGGGGAGACGGTCCTACTACTCTTCGGAGGTGATCTTCAGTGCAAGTCTTGTGGAGTGAAAACCGGGGAGGGCTGCTGGGTAGAGTCTCATCTGTGTAACAACTTTCCATATGTAACAACTTTGCAGTAACTTTGTAACAACTCCAGGCCATGGAGATAGAGAAACTTACTTTCAGCCTAAACTTTAAAGACCTTTTTCCTAAGATAAAATTGTCCTGAGGTTTCTGGGAACTGAGAATTCTTTTCCAGTTTTGACCTCTGCTGATTTTGTTGAGATTATAAGATTTTTAGACTGTGTTTTTTCCTCTCTCGATTTATAGACTCTTCTCTGTGATGAACAGGCAAGACACCTGAAAGCCCTTTTCTCACACTGGGGTGTCGGCAGTGTGGCTGTTGCTTGGGGCTGTCTCTGAATGAGCGGCAGGTGGGTTCCCTTAGCGAGCGCTGCTGCCTCCCGTGGGTCCTTCTTATTCCACTACCTCAAGAGAAGTTCTGGAGCAGCAGCCTGAAATCCTGCATAGAAATTAGGGCACGTAGTCACAGAGTCAGTGTCGCCTGATCATATAGCCTTTTGGGGGTTGCAGAGGAGTAGAGAGGGAGGACAGGAGGCCTTTTTTTTTTTATTTTTATTTTTTTATTTTTTACAGGAGGTCTTTCACCAATTTAGGCTTCAGTTGGAGCTAGCTCATTACCAGATTACAAGAACCACTGTGCCTTCTTTTCTGTTTAGATTCAAGGTCAGTAGAGAGCATTAGTAACCAAAGCTTTTGTCAGATGCTTGCATTGAAGAGTTAAAAATCTGTCAGTCTTTAGGGTACCTGGGTGGCTCTGTTTGTTAAGAGTCTGTCTGGGGTCACGATCTCAGGGTCCTGGGAGTGGCCCCTCCTCCAGGTCCCTGCTCAATGGAGAGTTTGCTTCTCCCTCTCTCTTTACCCCTCCCCTCACTTGCACTCTCTCTCTCTTAAATAAATAAAATCTTAAAGAAAAAAAAGTCAGTCTTACAACCGAGCTACAGAACTGCAAAATGTAATGCCGTGTCTCTGCAAGCAAAATACTTGCTTTAGCTTCAACTCTAGTTTGCATTGTCTACTCCACATTTCAGAGCCTAAAGCAACAGTTTAGATTGAATGAGGGCAAACTGCTAACGTGATTCATTAGGAAGGCAGAAGAAGCCAGCCATAACAAAAGGGAGTTAGCACCTTCCACAGGTAAAGGAGATCTGAGTTATATTTGTAGCCTTGCAATGAATCATTTAATGCCTTTTTAAAAAAAGATCTTATTTATTTATTCATGAGACACACAGAGAGAGAAGCAGAGACACAGGCAGAGGGAGAAGCAGGCTCTTTGCAGTGATCCTGATGCGGGATTCAGTGCTAGGACCCCTCAATCCCAGGGTCATGACCTGAGCCAGAGGCTCAACCACTGAGCCATCCAGGCACCCTCATTTAATACCATTAATGTTTAAAGGATTCAAAGAGATCCTGTGAGGTTAGGTGCCTCATCCTTCAGGCAGAATCTTAAATAAATCATTTTTATTCCTCCTCATTGTAACTTTAAAAATACAATAAATATGGGGATCCCTGGGTGGCGCAGCGGTTTGGCACCTGCCTTTGGCCCAGGGCGCGATCCTGGAGACCCGGGATCGAATCCCACGTCAGGCTCCCGGTGCATGGAGCCTGCTTCTCCCTCTGCCTATGTCTCTGCCTCTCTCTCTCTGTGTGTGTGACTATCATAAATAAATAAAAATTAAAAAAAAACTTAAAAATACAATAAATATGAAACCTATCCCCCAAAACACACATGTGGAAAGATCCAAAGGTTACATTTCATCAAGCCTTTCTCATGGACTTATATATTTTTTGATGAATGCTTGAACAGCAGACAACAATTTTCTCAATTTGTAAATTTTTGTCCTTTTCTAGAAAGTGCATTGGAATCTCTTCAAGGACCAAACCGATACCAAATCACTTTCATGTATATCAACTCATCTGTTAAATGCCTGGGTCTGTTTCATGGAAATGTATCAACTTTTCCTTGTATTCTTTACTGTCTGGAAAGAACAAGAGAAGAATTTTTCTAAGTTCAAGTGATTTTTCTTTTTAAAGATTTTATTTTTAAGGAATCTCCATGCCCAACGTAGGGCTCGGCCGTACAACCCCGAGATCAAGTCACACGCTCTACCGACTGAATCAGCCAAGCAACATTTTTGAAGGTTTTAAGAAATGGGAGCCAACCAGACATGACAGCAAAGAAAATAGAGTACTAGCAATAGCAATATAATGGCAATTAAGATCTCACTGTGATTTGTGGAAAATGATTCTTAAAAAACTACAGTTTTTCCAATCTTAAAATCCTGTAACATTTTCCTTTGCATAATTTCATGGCTTTATCATGATGCGTAAGTTTAGGGAAAATGACACAAAATTTCAGTTATTTCAGTTTTATTTTGAGTAGCTGATACAGTGTTTACAAACAACAGTACAAGAAAAATATGAACACTCAAGAGAAAGCCTGATCCACTGCCTGTGGGTTTTATTTAATATGAATAGTGTTTAGTATTGCTGGGCATTGTTCCAAGCACTTAAAATACTCACTTGCTTAATCCTCTTGCCCAGAAGTTCACAAACTTCTTCTGTAAGTTGCCAGAGAGTAAATATTGTGGGATTGTGTGGATGTAAAGGAAAGGAGGCACTAAAAACGTTCTCTCCTATGTTCCTCTTTGTTTCTTTATTTGTTTTTTGCTTTGACAACCTTTTAAAAGTGTAAAGAACATTCCTAGCTAAAGAGCTTGCTCAGGGACCAGGTTTGGCCCATTAACTGTAGTTTGCTGAACCTGTTCTTGCCCATCCTATGAGGTATTATTTCCATTTCAAAGATAACAGAACTGGAAGCTTGAAAGTAGCCTGGCTCCAAGTCTGTGTTATCAACCTGCATATCACGGCATTAAAAAAAAATTACTGCTTAGTTCTTCCTTGCGTCTCTTTTGTCAAACCATCCCAATGCATATGTGGAAGGCACCGGAGAACTTATTAAACATTGATAAAGAAAAACACAAAAGTAGCAAATGCTAAGTCAAATAGTTTTTAAAACATATGTCTTACTTGTAACTTTAAAAGATGAGCAAATGAATGCATTACCTTATTAATATCCCACAAAACCAGTCTGCTCTTCTGTTTTGCAAATTCGTAGGCAGTCCACCTGCCTATTCCATGCCCCGCTCCTGTAATGAGAACAGTCTCTCCAGCCACAGACTTTCTCTTTCGGGGAAAGAAAACCTTCACCAATGCCTCCAAGTAGGAGTAGATGATGGTGAGCAGAAGCAGGAGGAGATCCAAGATAATATTCATGGCTCTGCGGCTCTGCTCCGTACTCTTCTCTTCTGGCTCAGACCTTGTGTAACCTTAGCAGAGAACCACCCTATGCAGAGAGACCCAGGGAAGAGCTGTGCTCCAAGCGTTGATGGGGCTGACAGAAGTAAGCTAGATTTGCCTCCGACTTTGTCCACGTATTCTAATAGGTTGGAAACACCTGAGTTTGGAAGTGATGCAATTGCTATTAAAAGCTTGGCACAGGGACAGAGGAGTCATGGAGAAAGTGCTCTCTGGACTTGTTTACTGGGAAGCAGTTTTGTGCTGTGTTGCACAATGAAATTTCACCTCTAGAGATAATTCTAGAGACAGTGCATCAGCTAATGGTCTTTTGGTAGTCTCCTGGTATCTTTCTGTAAACAAGTGTATTGTTTTTAATTGAAGGAAAAGAAGAGAGTAGAGATAATACATTCAGGAGACTTCAATAAAGTATGGGCCAATCAGCCTTAGTGCGATTCATTTATTCATGAAAGCTCAGCATCAATATTTCAGTTAACTAATTATTTTACATAAGATAGTCATTTCCCTGAAAACCTCTTAAGTTTGGGAGAGATTGGAGGTTATATAAAGCAATCAGGAAATACTCTGATACCATGGGAATGGGCACTAGATCAGGAGCCAACTCTCCACTCTTCAAAATGGTGCGACTTCTAACACCCCAAAAATAGAAATAACTCAAGTGTCCATGAACGGATGAATGGATAAACAAAATGTAATATATACAGACAATGCAATAGTATTATTTTTAAAGATTTTTTAAAAAATTTATTTCTTCATGAGAGATGCAGAGAGAGAGAGAGAGAGAGGCAGAGACACAGGCAGAGGGAGAAGCAGGCTCCATGCAGGGAGCCCCACGTGGGACTCGATCCCAGATCTCCAGGATCACACCCTGGGCCGAAGGCGGCACTAAACCCCTGAGCCACTGGGGCTGCCCATAGTATTCTTTTAAAAAAAATGAATGCAATTCTGATTTTTTTTTTTTTTGCTAAATAGTATTGTTTATTAAGGCTTGTATTCTCCAGAGGAAAATTTATCCGATGTTGTCCGTGACTCCATACAGGCAGTAAGAGTTCAGAGAGTGACACGTTCTCAATACAAGTCTAAATAATACAGCTTAAGCTTTAACTCAGAGGGTCTTTTGGAGTAAATAGTTTTAGGAAAGTATTTGCTCTCTAAACAGTAAGATCCCCTACAATGGGCGCGTGCAGACTGTGCCAGAGCGACAGGCGTGAGCACCATTTTCATGCTGAGACTCAGACTCCGGGTGGCATGCTACAACATTCATGAACCCTAAGAACATTAGGTGAAATGAAAGACACAAAAGGACATGACTCCCTGCGCATGACCTAGATTATTCAAATACATAGGGACAGGGAGTGGATTGTTGGTTATTAGGAAATATCACTATTTCTTTGGAGACCAAGAAATGAGAAATTATAGGATTTATGTGCATTACAATAGCCCACTGTTTGTTTAGTCTAACTATAGTAATCTGCCAAGAACAAATTGAGGAATATAATCTCTTTTCTCTTTTTTTAAAGATTTTATTTATTTATTTGAGAGAGAGAGAGAGAGAGATTGAACGAGCAGGGGGAGCTGCAGAGGGAGAGGGAGAAGCAGACTCCTCACTAAGCATGGATCCTGATGCAGGGCTTGATCCCAGGACCCTGGGATTATGACCTGAGCCAAAGGCAGGTGCTTAACTAACTGAGCCACCCAGGTGCCCTGAATCTCTTCTAATAAATACTTTCCTCCTCCTTTCTGGAGGGTCCATTAGTACATCATCAAAGGTTCTGTTTACTGCCAAACTCATAAAGCAGTATTAGGTAGTCTTAAATGTCTTATAAATTTCTTCAGGCTCCAAAACCTAGTTTCTATGCAAACAAACCCCAAGAAGTTCACATCTTATAGAGGCCTCAGAATACTTTTGGTTTATGAAATCCCTTGCTTCATCTCTACATATCAATCCTACTTCTTACAGTAGCAAAGAGAAGGTCTTGATCTCTATAGTGTACTTCTCAATATTTCTTTCCTTGTTCCTCCAATTATTCTTTCCCTATTAATTCCAACATTTTCCTGCCCATGGGACCGGTCTCTTTTGCTTTCAACTACTTTCTGTTCTCTACCATTGTAAAAATATTCTGTGAAATCTTTTTCCATCCCACCCCCCATTGGCAATCCTGTCTTTCATATCTTACTGTCAAAGTATTACACAGTGATTACCTCTGTTTTCTGGCTACCCATTTCCTTGGGAGCATAGAAATCTCCTGACCCTTTACTCTCTACCGGTGCAAAGTGCTATGATGGTCCCAAATATAAGGAGCTATGTGAGCATCATTAGACCTGAAGATGGGGGGAGGGTGGGAGGTGAGACAAGCAGGGGTTAGCCACACGGTGAAGGAGATAAGGATGTTCCAGATATAGAAAACCATGTGTAGAGGCACTGGGAGGTGAGAGATCATAGCACATTCAAAGGCTAGGAAGGTCCCTCTTGGATAAGAGAGTGTGGGTCAGAGAGAAGTTAGAGAACATATAAGAAGCTCAGTCACTCAGAGAGAGTCTCAGCATCAAGGAGAGTTAGTGAAAGATTTTGAGGAGGGGATTGTTATCAGATTTAGAAATGCTAAAAAAAAAAAGATTTAGAAATGCTTTAGGATAGAGAATGCATGGGAAGAAGGGCAAGAAGGATTCTTGGATGGCTGTTCAGTAACCCAGGCCAGGGGTGGTCGTGGCCTGAATGAACACAGTGGCAAAGAGATATTTGAGAGAGGGAATAATAGAATCAATGGGCATTCTTTTAATAAATATATATCAAACCCTTTTTATGTCTTAGGGACTGTTCCAGGCATTGGGGATACAGCATTGAACAAAATACATAAAAACAAAGCTTCCTGGGAACCCTTGGTGGCTCAGCGGTTTGCCGCCTGCCTTTGGCCCAGGGCACGGTCCTGTAGTCCCGGGATCGAGTCCCACGTCGGGCTCCCAGCATGGAGCCTGCTTCTCCCTCTGCCTGTGTCTCTGCCTCTCTCTCTCTCTCTCTCTGTCTATCATAAATAAATAAATAAGTAAATCTTAAAAAAAAAAAACAAAAACAAAAAAAGCAAAGCTTCCTAACAGAAACTTATGCTATACGGGCAATGTAGACACTAAAGATAAATAAGCAAAATATGTACTGTGCTCCCCAGTAGTAAGTATCAAGGTGAAAAATAGAGGACAGAAGGAGAAATGGAATCTTATAGGGCATGGCTGTGTAGGGGGCAGGGTTGCAATTTTAGATACGGAGTAAGAAGTTCTGAAAAGACCTAGGGAAAAAGACTTAAAGGGGAGATAGAGCTAGCCATGTGGCTGTCTGCAGAAGAGCATTTTGGAGAGGAAACAGTAATGTACAAAGGTTTTGAGATAGGAACATGTCTAGCGGGTTGAGGATCATCAAGAGGACTGATGTGCCTGGAGTGAATTGAAAGAGAATGAGGGTAGTGTAACAGTTTTATAGATCAAAATGGCTAGGCTATAGTTTTCAACTATTCAGTGAAACTAATCTAAATATTGCTGTGAAGGTATTTTGTGGTTAATATTGATAATAGTCTTTAAGACAAAAACTTTTTAAAGATTTTATTTATTTATTCATGAGAGACACACATGGAGAGAGGCAGAGACACAGGCAGAGGGAGGAGCAGGCTCCTCACAGGGATCCTGATGCAGGACTCGATCCCGGGACCCTGCGATCACGCTGAGCCAAAGGCAGGTGCTCAACCACTAAGCCACCCAGGCGTCCCAAATAAGACAAAACTATTCTTAATGATGTGGATGGGCCTTATCCAATCAGTTGAAAGGCCTTGAAAACAAAACTGAGCTTCTCTGTACTATAGACTGAATATTTGTGTCCCTGCTCACAAAGTTCGTATGTTGAAACCCAACCCTCAAAGTAACAGTATGTGGAAGTGGGGGCTTTGGGGGATGATTAGTTCATGAGGATGGAGCCCTCATGAATGGGATTAGTGTTCTTGTAACGGAGACCCCAGAGAGCTCCCTTCCCCCTCCTGCCATGTGCAGACACAGCAAGAAGACCGGCTGTTTGTCGGTGAACTGGGAGGCAGGCTTTAGCCAGATGCTACTACATCCTGGGTGGCTTGATTTTGGAATTCCAAGCCTCTTGAACTGGGAGAAATAAATTTTGGTTGCTTAAGACCCACTTGATCTTTGGTATTGTGCTGTAACAGCCTGAACTGCCTAAGACACCCCAGAGGCAGCAGCAATGCTGCCTCAAGACCGTATCACCGATTCTGCCCCAGGGGTCCCAGCCTGTCAGCCTCCCCTACAGATTTCAGAGTCGCTAGCCTCCCACAATAACATGAGCCAACTCCTCAATTCCTTGAAATTGATCTACCCTCGTATGTATGTATGTATAGAAAATCTACTGATTCTATTTCACTCTAATATAAGTAATAAGGTAATAATCGGTAATAAGGTAAGAAGACTGGATTACATATGGCCTTCCAGGTCATGGTAAGGACTTTAGCATTAAGTTTTAGGTGAGGCGCTATTGGGGGATTTTGTACTGAAGCATGACATCATCTCATATTTTAGATTTATTTTTTTCCTTTATTTATTTATTTATGATAGAGAGAGAGAGAGAGAGAGAGAGAGAGAGAGAGAGAGAGAGAGAGAGGCAGAGACACAGGCAGAGGGAGAAGCAGGCTCCATGCACCGGGAGCCCGATGTGGGATTCGATCCCGGGTCTCCAGGATCGCGCCCTGGGCCAAAGGCAGGCGCCAAACCGCTGCACCACCCAGGGATCCCCCCATCATCTCATATTTTAAAGACTTATTCTGGGGCACCTGAGTGGCTCAGTCGGTTAAGTATCTGACTCCTGATCTCAGCTCAGGTCTTAATCTCAGGGTCCTGAGTTCAAGCCCACATTGGGCTCCATGCTGGGCATAGAGCCTACTTAAAAGACAATTTTTAAAAAAGGACTCACTCTGGCTGCTGTGCTGAGGGGAACAACAGGTGATGGTGGCTTGCATCGGGGTAGTGGCAGTGGGGGTGATAAGAGGTGATAGAATTCTGGATATATTTTCAAGGTAGAGCAAATAGAATTGCCTTTTTAATGAATGTGGGAG